TCAAACACACACATCAGACAAACCATTAGAGCGCCGGAACCGCTCAAACAAGCGGTGACAACACCGCTGAACGCGTGTCACGGCATGTGGTGACCCGTTGGCCACCGATGAGATACTAACCGGCAATACAGGGCTGACTGTCGGGCAGTTCCAACTCATCCAAGACATCGACGTTACTTAAGGCGTCGCTCAGAGTCACTCTCTCTATCACTTCCTGTTGTGCAGACATTTTGGTTGGTCTGGTGGCGAACGACAGGTGATAATCGGTGGACACAATGCAAGCGGTGACACAAACGGATGACAACTCAGAGGACAGGCATGTATTGAACGCCCATTTGTTGTGACATTTGATTAGCCGTCCACTCGATGGCCGCCATATTGGATGTGCTTTTGTATGTTTGTATGCATTGCGTTGCTATGGAGACCACCCGTTGCTATGATGTCATCAACGAAACACAACTTTCAATGTTTTGGTTTGTTTTGAACGCTTCGACACACGTTTGGCTCGACTCTTGTGTCTCTCATCTGTCCATTAGATCCCGAAGTGATGTCCAGCGAGCAGTCCTACGACGACGTGTCGCACCCTTTTCCGCCCAAATCCGGTCAACACATGAATGGCTACACTCTGGAAGAGCTGCTGAAGTCGTCGCACAACTGCTGGGTCTTCGTGTGTCACCTCACGAGTGACACATCGCAGCGGTTTGTGACGAAGATTGCTGTGAAGACGGAGTACAAGAAGTTGTTAAATGAGATCCACTGCTACAAAGTGCTGGACGGAGGGAAAGGCATTCCTCGACTTCATTATCACAAACAGTAAGACATTTACTGTTATTTTAATTGTAAGCATTTGTTGCTGAAGTACGCCATCAATGGTGTCATTGAAGATATTGATCCCTAAAGTGAGCCATTGTTTGAGTGTTGAATGTGAGGTGAAGGACGGGAGGGTCGCAGGGATTTTCTAATGAGTTATCTGTCATTACAATTGCATTGGATGTGTATTAACAGTTATATAATTTATTAATTTATGTCTTAATGGATGTATGGATCAGATGGTCAGTGGAGTCGGATGTGGGGGAGTATACAGAAGTGGCGATGATTGTGATCGACCAGTTGGACAATGTCTTCAATAAGACATCCAAAGTGAAGGCAAAGTGTACTCTACCGGCGGAACAACTCATTCTTATGGCTGTGCAACAGATATCACTGTTGGAGTACATCCACAGCAAAGGACTAACCCATAGAGGGGTTAAACCCGACAACTTCGTGCTGTCTGAGGACAGGACCACTGTATATATCATTGATTTCAATAAATCCAGACCTTATTTGGACTCTAATGGCAATCATAAGCCGTACCGCAGAGTCGAGTCCAAGAGACCCAGAGGTCTACCGTTCTTCCATTCAGTCAATTACCACAATGGCGTCCGACGCTCAAGACGTGATGATATGGAGTCACTGCTCTACTGTTGGGTCTATTTATTCCACGGAACCCTTCCATGGAGTGATGTCAAGAGGTATGAAAATCAATTCAAGACTTATGTGAAGAATATTGGGAAACGAGTCAATGAGACGTCCTATGAGCAGATTTGTGCCGGTATTTCATATCTGATTGTCATATTATTTATTGGTTTTAATGGTCTGTTTGTGTCTTAAGGTTTGCCTCATAATTTTCAACGATATCTAACACTTTGTCGTGAAATGGATTTCTATGCTCAACCCAATTACCAACTGATGAGACAATTAATCTCCGATTCACTCATTCAACTCAATAATAACTCAAATTCTAATGATTCTCTATTAAATTAGTGCCAAAACATTACTGTAATCCCATTTTGATCTCTATTTTTAATTAAATATTTATTTTTGTTATTTATTTTGGAGCTTGTTATATTCATATTACCGTATTTATATTGTTTCACTCAATACTTGTTATTTTGATACTACTGTATATATTGTTTTAGAATTACCGTATATAAAATAATGTCAAATATAAGCTATTTTGTATTGGATTAATAAAATTTTTTAATTTTTAAAATTAAACTCGTAAAAACTCTTGAATTACTCTCCAAAGCATTAATCGATTGATTAAACTAATGCATTGGTTTTTATTAGATTTGATTTTTTAGCTTATTTATAATTTATTGCAATTTATATGTAAAAGTTATAATGAATTAACTTTTATATAAAAATGAAACTCACAGAACAATCAATAATATATTTGTGACCAACAAAATGGGAATTAATGTTAACTTTTTGTTTCATAATAAACCAATTTTTCAAATAAGAGAAGGAAATTAATTTGGGTTTTAAGCGGCGATTCATTAATTTTCGTTGACATCCGCTCATTTGTGACCAACAAAATGGGAATTAATGTTAACTTTTTGTTTCATAATAAACCAATTTTTCAAATAAGAGAAGGAAATTAATTTGGGTTTTAAGCGGCGATTCATTAATTTTCGTTGACATCCGCTCTCGTAAAACCATTTATTTTGGCAAAATATTTTTCACTGAATATTATTGATTTTAATTACTATATAAATAGGCGGTCGACAAATAAATTGCTCAAAAATATTGATCATTCATTTGAAAATTCCTTTAACTTCTGATTTATTATATCACTAGAGATATAAATAGGATAAAAGACAAAATCATGAATTACATGGATTTTGGATCTAATTTGTGGGCTAATGGTTACAATTCTTTCGTATTTATGTCTTATATGTACAAAGAGTTGGACCGAAAGTATAATCCAAACACGAAATTAAGAAAATTAAAAGAAACTGATCCCGACTTGGAGCAGGATCTCAAAGGAAAGGTATGTATAATAACGGGCGGAAGTCGTGGCATCGGTGCCGAAGTGGTCAAAGTGTTGCTGAAAAAGGACTGTCATGTCATCACTGGCTCGTCGTCCAAAAGCGAGTCCGAGCGCCAGAAACGACACGATCTACTGGTGGCTGACATACCCNTCTCAAAGGAAAGGTATGTATAATAACGGGCGGAAGTCGTGGCATCGGTGCCGAAGTGGTCAAAGTGTTGCTGAAAAAGGACTGTCATGTCATCACTGGCTCGTCGTCCAAAAGCGAGTCCGAGCGCCAGAAACGACACGATCTACTGGTGGCTGACATACCCTCTGACAAAGGAAAGCTCGATATCTGGCACCTGGATCTCAATTCTCTGGATTCTGTGACCCATTTCGCAAAACGATTTAAAGAGACAGGACTTGCACTCAACTATTTTATAGCCAACGCCGGGGTTATGTTGGAGTCAAACCAGCGGAGATCGCTTACGGATGACTTGGAGGAGCATTTGGTCGTCAACTACTTGAGCCACTGTTTGCTTATCGACCATTTCTTGGACAATATGCGCGAATCGGGAAAACAGTCTAAACACGAATCGCGTATAGTATTGGTGTCATCCATAGCTCATAGGATGGCAAACATTAGATTGAAAGACATAAATCTGAAGAGTAAATTATTGCCGCCATACTTTGCTTACGGACGGTCCAAATTGGCTCTAATCATGTTTGCTAACCGTATGGCCCGTTGGTTAGATGAGAAAGGCGGTGATTGGCGACAATCAATTACTGTCAATAGTTTGCATCCAGGTTTATGTGACACACAAATGTTGTCAAAATTGCCTATACCTGCATCTATTTTAGCACAAGCATCCAGGGTATGTATTGAATAATTTAATTATTGACTATATCTGTATTGATCATCTAATCATTACAATAGCTATTCATTTATTTATAAAGCCTTAAGCCTTATGATGATATCAAATAGATTATGAAAGGTTTAGATAAATAGAAATATCGGAATAAATCTGTTTACTACAGTATAACAACGAATATTTGTT